ATCAGACTCATATTCTGACTAGAATTGAGTAGGACTACGTCAGGCTAGATCTTGTCCACATTGTGTTTGATTATTTTAGGTACTATCTACACAAATTAGCATTCTATATGCAGTACCTCTAAACACTGCCCCTTTATTCACACAAAACTTTTTGAATGTATCATCCATATTAGTTTTGTAATCAAAATATTATTTAGGAAGTTTAGAGCATAGATAAGCTATTTGAGCTTACTGTAAACAAGAGTTTGGACCTAAAAATTGTAATTGTTAAGTAGATCTTTAAAGGGCCTCAAAATGTTATTTTCAATGATATGAGGGATATATCATAAATTATGCTGTTACCATGGCTTATTTTTTAGGGGGTTGTCTTCTGCCGTAGGCTAATAGCCACATTCTGCCATACTGGACAAGATGCCAACCCAATTTTTTCTTTGCCCAATTTAGAATATTTTTTTTCATTATTTTACAGTTTACGCACATTATATGGTTGTCTAAGTTATTAGGTAATTAGAGGTGATGGCACAATAAGGACAGTGAAAAGGAGAAAATCCTTTCTGAAAAAGTATTGAGATTTTATTGTTTTGACAGAAGAAATATGGTCTTGGTAAATAGCCTTAACCCATTACAGAACTTTCGGGCCAACACTGTACTGTGAGAGATAAAAAGGCAAATATGACCTTTCTATATGTTCGAAAGCTTTTTCAGCATCCAGCGACACAGCGCTCCCTGGGTGCAGGAAAGAGTGCAATCTATGCATAATAAACCTTTTATATTGTTGAACATTTGGCATCCAGGTATAAAGCCAACTCTCTGATACTGAAAAGATAATAGCATCACTGGTGACATTATTAGCTCTGTCTGTTACATATCATGGCTTCTGAAATCAAAAATTATAATCTGAATATTTTGAAACTTGATGTTTTTATTACTCCCTTCTCCCTATATGAAACGCAACTGTGCTGCTTCTTAGCAGCTGACCCAGGGCCCAATATAAATGCAGAAGAGCAGCTAAAAGAACAGGTGTGAGGTGTTCACCTGACCTTTGAACTCCCATCATGGCAAACAAAGATAATCTGTTAGAAAAGAATAACTACCCCATGCAACATCCTATACCCAATAGCCTTTTACTAAGTGCCAAAACACACCCCACCAAGGTATTTTAGCAAATTTTGAAAAGTCAGGACAGTTAAACACCTAAGAGAAGGAACCGTTCTTTTAGAATATACGGTGCTATTAACTCAATGATAATTGCAACATTAACTCAAAGGAAGTTGAGTTTATTGTAGTAGATCAGCAAAGCAGTCTTACACACAACAGGTATAAATCTGTTGTTCATCTAAGATTTCAGAATCATTTAGTTGTATGACAGAGCTCTACAGACACAATTACACGGGATCATTTACCTCAAGCTGTTACGATAGAATGATGCTGAGCTTTTTTAATTTCATTGCCTAATTTTAAAAACACTCTGAATTACTTGAAGACTTCCAGTGGTGGCCATTTAGAAAAAAGAAACTTTATATTATCAGATTCTATTCGCCAAATGGAAATGAAATCAATTATTTTTAGACTATCATTAACAACAATAATTAGGTAGACTTTACTTTTTCAACATAAAGTTCTCATCCTTTAATGCCAAAGTGTTATTCATGCTGTTTATTTTTGTTGTCAATGTAGACAAGTACAGCATGTTATGCTGTCAGCTGCAACCAAGGATTTCACCACAGCCTCTCTGACAATGTGAAGTGAAAAATGATCAATTATAATGTTGCCAGCTCTCACTTCCTTCTCTCTGTCACCTATCATACTAGTAATAAATGGCAAGATGGTAAGAAATAATCACATTTTGGGGAGTTTTTAGAACAGCACTTCTATTAATTAAAGTGACAGACAAGTGAAATTATGTATTAAGTCAACCCCTAATAGGATAGAGGGCCTGAGCGCTGCTCAGATGGATTTTACCCATTTCCTTGGTATTTCAATAATTGGAAGAATTGTAAAGGGTAACTGTAGAGGGAAACATCTCTTGTTAAAATTTTTGAGCAAATTTCATCCTGGATATTTCAAATCCAACTAATAGTCTTGGGACAGTGGTTTGGAAGTTACCTTTGTTACTATATGGTTATTAAAGGAATAGTACACCCAAAACATGATTAGCCTTCATTTTCTACTCACCCCCATGCTGAACAACACTCTGGAGTACTTTTTTGATATCTCAAATGCATCTGGAGATCTGGGAGGCTTCTTGCTGTCTGCTGACATTCAAATAATGGAGGTCCATGGCGCCCGAGGCAGAAAGGTCCATAAAAGTCCACAAAAAACGTGTCAATATTCCTCCATACTGCTCGTCCAATGTATTCCAAGTGTCCTGAGTGGGTAGCATCCAGAATTTACTCGAAACTAAGTCATTTAGAATGTTTTTAGAGCATAAACAGTAGTGTATAGGATTTCCTAAAAGCGCGTTCACGAGTCTACGGAAACCGTGGCAGACCAAACCAGATGAAAGTGTGCATTCAGCGTCTGCTCTGCCGATAATGCAAGCGTAGAAGAAGAAATGTGCTGTTTACCTGTGCAAAGAAAGAAACAACGAAAGAAAAATGTCTGAGGACTTCAGTGTTGAGGAAGAGCATGAGTTCTTTGCCGAGCTGAATGCACACTTTCATCTGGATTGATTACACATTTGGCATATACAGTATTTTATGTAATTAGTTTTTTTGTGTTCTCTTATATTTCTATATATTCCTATATGGCAGTAGACCATCTGATAGACTCATGTGATTCAGAGATACTGACCCTAATACATGCATTACAAGGTCTTCATCTGTTTTGCATTGCTAAATTAGACTGTTAGTAGAGCTACAAGCATAAAAAAAATAAGCCATAGAAATTGTAAGCCAATTTATACCCTTATGAAAAAAAAAAACTATATGTCTAGAATACTTTAGGCTGACAATATGGTGTTTGCCGATAAGAGACACAATTTTACAGTAGTGCTTTTCAGATAACCCATTTCTTCCTCATTCCATGGCTCTGCTTGGTGTTGTTGCTGGTCATCTGGAAGTCAGTTAAAGACAGTGATTTATGCCTGGGGCTTCATGCAGCATAGCCTCATTACACACAACCATTTTGAGAATCAGCAGATAATTACAGTATATATCATAGACCACATGGGGCCCAGCAGAATCACTCCATTCAAATGGCCTGTCACTTAGGACAGAGGGCCTCAGGAATGGAAAACCACATTCTAACCTCATTTTCTTTCCTTTAATTGAAATTCTCTCTAAAAAACTAAGAAATATTCACAGTGAAGTATTTGAACAAGGATTCTATATATTTGCCATGAACAAAATATGGATTAAAAAATTAGAAACAAGTTTTTCAAAAGGGTAAGCATCAAGTTTAACAGAAATAATTAACCTTTATTAAGCCTTTATTCATCATTGTTATTTACACATGGTAGGATCTTTAATTGTAGATTTTGGTCATCATATTTTTTTACACACATTTTTGTCAGTAGAAACAAAACCATAATAACAATAAAATCAATTCTAACAGAACCTTCTTTTTTTTTGTTTTTCAATTTCTTTGAAGGGAACATTAACTCGTGCCCGAACTGAGCTGAATCCTGAATATCTGGATCTCCGTCCCCGAGCAGAGCTGAATCCTGAATATTGGACCCCTTGCACCCCTTTAGTGAGTACTGATGGTCCCATTTTTGCCCAAACAAATCATTAGTATTTCACCTAACAGAAATCATTTCATTTCATGAAGTCCACAATATTTCTCAAAGTCTATCTCTGCATTATTCGCATACTATGCAAAGACAAATATGATTCTTTAGACACATTATAAAGTGGTTTTGTCATTCTTTCCTCCATCTCTGCTTATTAATAACATAATGCACTTTTGTATTTCAAGTTTTTCTTCCTTCTCTCCACAAAGCCTTGTTTTGCATATGACTAACAGTGACATACAGTATTGTACTGGAAACATCATTAAATTCATGACTAATGCGCTGCTAATATTCATGCCATTTTTACTTGAGTAATAAGTATTTGTCTCATTACCTCTGTGCTTGGAAAACACAGTGCTTGATAGTCATTGGGGGGCTAGAGAAGGTTTGCATGTGTCGCTTTGCACTGGTGAATCTTAATGATGTCGGTTTTTCTTAGCTACAGTTTATCAACAAGGGCTTGCGGTGTGAGGGCCGGGTTTGGACTCTTACCATCATCTCCCTCTGTTGCTAAATGCAGTGCCAAGTTTATTTTTGTTTATTTTCTTATGTTGTGGGAGTAATTTTTGTGAATTTCACTTCTAACACAGTGTATCACAGATAATTTTAGTTGCATGCAGTTTGTTACAACAAAGATGTTAAAGTCTTATGTCACCAAAAACAAATTGTTACTTATTTCAATATACACATATATAAATATATCTATATATATATATATATATATATATATATATATATATATATATATATATATA